GGGGGTGGGAGGCACGAAGGTGGCGGGAGCCCGTCCCCCCCCCGAGAGCAGCGCGGGGGCATTTAAAAGTCACCTGCTGCGGTGACCCGGGTGGTGGCACACGCGGGGGACATGGGGGACAAACCCAGGCTGCAGCCTCATGTCCCCCCCCAGCTTGAGCTCACCCGGCCGGACCCCGCAGGACCTTGTTGCCCCCCCTCAGGCAAGCAGAGATGCGCAGGGTCTGGTGTGCCACCGGTCCTGGGTGCCCACCACGGGGGGGTGACCTGTGGCCAGGGCAAGCCCGGTGGCCGTGACCCCCCCAACAGCAGATGGGGAGCACGGGTGGGATCAGCTGGGGGGGCTGAGAGCTCGTGACCCTGGGACGGGACCCCCCTTTGCTGAGGGGGTGACGGTGCCGGGTCCTGCCCGACCTCAGTGCCTGGGTCTGGGGTCATCAGGACCCCCCCCCACCATTAAAGGGTGGTCCGGTTGCCACAAGTCCAAGGCAACTGGTTGGTCTGGTTTGGGTCAGAAAGGGTTATTTGAATTATTCTGAAGTGTTTTGGGGGCTGCCCCCCTCCCCTCCGTGCCATCTCCAGTGGGTTTTCTCCCTTCCTCCCACAGTGGTCCTCATCGGGGAGTCCGGGGTGGGCAAAACCAACCTGCTCTCCCGCTTCACCCGCAACGAGTTCAACCACGACAGCCGCACCACCATCGGCGTGGAGTTCTCCACCCGCACCCTCCTGGTGGGAGATGCTGTGGTGAAGGCTCAGATCTGGGACACGGCCGGGCTGGAGCGGTACCGGGCCATCACCTCCGCGTAAGGACGGGGTGGCCAAAATTGGGGATCATCCCCTCCCTGGCACCTGGGTGGTGATGCCCCATGGGTAGAGATGTTGTGTCTGGAGCGTGGGGTGATGATGGGGTTCTCCTGTAGGTATTACCGGGGGGCCGTGGGTGCCCTGGTGGTCTTTGACATCACCAAGCACCAGACGTACGATGTGGTGGAGCGTTGGCTGAAGGAGCTCTACGACCACGCCGAGGCCAGCATCGTGGTCATGCTGGTGGGGAACAAGACCGACCTCGCGCAGGCTCGGGAGGTGCCCATGGAGGAGGCCAAAATGTTTGCAGGTAGGGGCTGGCACCCTGCCCCCGGGGCTGGGGGGCTCAGCAAACCCCCCCCCGACAGCGGGGATCTGCCCCACTGGGGGCACCTCGACATATCTAGAGGGGCTTGGAAATGGAGTCGTGTCCTCACCGGGGTCTGGATCATATAGAACCCATGGTTTGGGTGGGAAGGGATCTTGAAGACCCCCCAGGGAGGACCCCCAGACACCCAGTGCCCCCCTGCCCTGGGCAGGGACACCTCCCACCAGCCCAGGTTGCTCCAAGCCCCCTCCAACCTGCCCTTGAACCCCTCCAGGGATGGGGCAGCCACAGCTTCTCTGGGCAACCTGGGCCAGCGTCCCACCACCCCGGTAGTCACCCTCTTGGGGGGCTCCTCTCGTTGCAGACAACAAGGGGCTGCTGTTTGTGGAGACCTCGGCGCTCGACTCCACCAACGTCGAGCAGGCGTTTGAGACCATCCTGAAGGGTACGTGCGCTGGCACCACGGGGTCCCGTGGCATTGGGGGGTCCCTCCCCGGGGCTGGGCAGGGGGCGTGTGGCGCGTCTCTCCCCTGCCCTGCTCCACCTGAGCTCTTTGGGGCAGGTTTCGGCGTGGTTTTTCTGGCTGGTTGGGTTTCTGGCCCTTCCCGCTGGGCGTTTCTCCGCACCCACCCCGTGCCTTTGTTCCCACGGCCCCGGGCATCCCCCAGCCCCGGGGGCTCCTTCCCCCCCTGGCAC